GAGCTGCACTGGCTGCCTATTGGTCTTCGGATACGCTTCAAGGCGCTAGCCGTCACAATCTCCCCGTGGAGATCCGCACCCTCACCACCGTCCAGGCCTTCCGCACAGCCCTCAAGATCTGGCTATCCCGTCAGGCCTGGGGATAAGACTTTACTCTCGCCCCTCCCGAATGTTGAATGAATGTTGGGTTTTTATTGCTAATTATTTTTATTCACATTTTCTTTTTGTGTTTTGTCCTGCACTCCCTTCCCCTATCATTGTAAGCCGCCCTGAGTCCCCTCAGGGAAAAGGGCGGCCTATAAATGCTAATAAAATGAAAAAAAAATATTGCAGCTTCAGATATAACTTCAGATCTACACGAAAAGCCAATTGACTACTCATTAATTAAATGGTGGTATTGCTGTGCATGTGCCAAAGCTCTGAGGCTGGATTTCCTCCCAAGGTGCTCCCTTTGCATAAAACAGGTCCATCAAAGCAGGAGGAAATCAAGGCTTAGTGCAATGAAGAGCATCCAGCAATCCTCAACTGATTGGCATGGGGCTGATTTTGATTCCCAAACAGATCTGAAACCATGTCTGGTAAATGGCTGTAAGTTGTAAATTGATATTCAGCTCACAGCATTATTGTTGAAATGATCAGACAACTGTCTATGCTTAGCAATGATATGGCTGTTTCTGTGTCCCAGTTCCAAGAATCTTGACGTGCGTTTGGGTTATGAGCTTTGTCCTGATGAGCAGGATTTTCTGCGCAAGAGGAAAAAGGTTGTTGCAGATGCCCTGAATAAGCTTTTTAATTTAGGAGAGGAGTTACAAGAGGATGAGGTATGTGGATCTCTTGTAATTATTTGCATGTTAAATATTTAATTACCATCTAGTTAAGGACAAGCATAATTTTGCCTGCACAACACGTTAGATTGAAAATGTAAGTTCAGGAGCCACCATGTGTATGATTCTAACAGAGATTGAGCTATATTGTCTGGACACAGAATGGAAGCCATTCTGGATTTCTAGAAATCAGCCTTGTAACTTAAATTCATTGAAAGTTACAAAATTCAGTTTCTTGATATCCATTTTGGATTTGCACCATATGCTAAGCTTCTGTTTATGTAGCTTGAGCCTACATATAAGCTGATGTAGAAGTAAAGCCTATAAAGAGAGCCAATTTGGTGTAGTGGTTAAGGCACTAGATTAGAAACTCAGAAAGTATATGTTCTAGGCCCGTGTTAGACTCAAAGCCAGCTGGATAATTTTGGGCCAGTCTATCTCTCTCAGCCTTAGGAAAGAGGCAATTGCAAACCAGTTCTGAAAATTCTTGTCAAGAAAATTGCAGAGACTTGTCCAGCTGCTTACTTAGAAGCCAAAACTTTATAAATCTTTTAAACACATGCCTAAAGCTCCAGCTCTCCTTATTACTTAGCCAAGGTCAAAACTAGCAAAGATACCTAATGACATAAATATATAATTCTCTTGTCCATTTCTTCTATGTTCCTCTCATGCCTTTCTTTAACAATTAAATATTATAAAAAAGAAATCAATGTAACTTTATCAAAAATAATTTCCCCTTATCAAAAACTCATCTACTACTCCATTAGATATTTCTAAAACAACATTATTCAATCCATATAACCATTCAACATTATCAAAAATAAAAACCCATTATTTAGCCAATTAGTCAAATAAACCAATTTTATATTTTTCCCCTTCTTACTACCATTCTTAAATCCCATAAATAAAATTATGACTCCTGTTTTCTTTTAGTATATTTTCTTCTTGCATTGAAATTTTTATCATCTTTCAAATCCATCTGTAATTTTCATGAAGTACCTCCAATAAATTTCTTATATCTCAATTTGAAAGAGTAATCCACAATGTCTTTTTCTATGTTTGAATAAACATCTAATTGTATTTGTAATCAATTGTTTCCAGAAGGATTTGTTAATCTTCAATTGTAATGTGGTTCCAGTAAAAAGTTTGCTTCACATTCTATAAATCAAATATTTATTTTCAAGTAGCCATTTTGTGCTCTGGTAATAGACCTTTATGGTTTACTTTTACAACTGATATATAAACAAGACAGCTTTCCTACACAAGAGTTTTTTCTATTCACTCTTTCAAAAAGAAAAATTACTTTTTTCTATCTTAAATTTAAAAAAAATATGTTTTATTTTATTTTAATCTTTTTAGTTTAGTTTTTGTGAGGCGAACAAAAATCAATCAAGTTTTCAGACATTTCTAAGTAAGTGCAGAGAACAGCAACAAAGATGATTAGGAGATTAGAGGCTAAAACAAATAAAGAATAGTTGAAGGAACTGTGTATATCTAGTTTAATGAAAAAAAGGACTAGGGGAGACATGATAGCAGTGTTACAATATCTCATGGGCTGCCACAAAGAAAAGAGAGTCAAACTATCCTCCAAAGCACCTGAAGGCAGAACAATAAGCAAAGGGTGGAAACTAATCAAGGAGAGAAGCAACTTAGAACTAAGGAGAATTTTCTTGACAGTTAGAACAACTAATCAGTGGAACACTTTGCCTCCAGAAGTTGTGAATGGTCCAACACTGGAAGTTTTTAAGAAGATGTTGAATAACCATTTGTCTGAAGTGGGGTAGGTTTCCTGCCTAAGCAGGGGGTTGGATTAGAAGACCTCCACGGTCCCTTCCAACTCTGTTATTCTATTCTATATTATACTGTAGTCCCAGAAATAATGACAATCACCAAAGAGACACACCCATATCTAAACAAAATCTCTCTTTAACTGAAAAAGGAATTATAATCCAAAAATTGCATTAGACTGAGGAATGCCAGTTTTACTGTCCATAAATTTAGGCTGTGACTCAGCTGTGAACTCACCTGACCTCACCTATCTGTTGCACAACTCACTAGCTAATTGGGGAAAAACTCCATTTCCACAACTTATTCTTGCCAAGTGACAGCATAAAGGGCATATGTTGATTTCAAGTTTCCTCTTTAAATCTAGAAAAACATTCCCCTCCTGCCTCCAAATATCTGGAGGCGAAAAAAGCTGTGTCATTGTTTCCCTCTGGAGACAGTTAAGCTGCTATTTTCTCTACTACAAAATGGAATTGTCAATTTGGTCTATTAAAAGATAATTTGGATTTGGAATGTTGTAGAGTCCAAGATTGTTCTATGGTCAAAGTCCCTGTTTATATTATTGATGAAGTGACTGCTTATATTTCTAACAGGTCCCAGTGATTGCTCTTTTGGCAACTGGAGGTGGTATCAGAGCTATGACATCCTTGTATGCTCATCTCTCAGCCTTCCAGAAATTGAACCTTTTGGATTGCATTACATATATCACCACTGCTTCTGGATCAACATGGTAAAAACTAAGGGAAATGTGTTACATTTAATTAGAATTTCAATTATACTGGGCTCAATGCTGAGAAACCTATGTCTGTGGAAATGACACAATTAGAATAATACATCATTCAGATGAATGTTTCAGATGAAACCATAATCAGGAAAATACTCGAATGCGCAGAAATGGATAAAATGACAATAGAACTAAAAGAAAGAGAAGAATCGGACTGCTATAAAGTATGGAATAAAATGTAGAAATGGCTAGAAATCAGAAGCCAAAACAGAAAATAGGGAATATAAATATATGGTGATACAAATAATGAATATTATTATAGTGTTAACACTACGTTTGCTACATTATAGGACAAGGTTAAAGCAATAGGAAGGCAATACAGAAGGGAGAAATATAAAAGCTAAGCAGGAAAGCCGATATAGAAAGCTGTAAAATTACTGTATATTGTTATGTATGTTTTGTGGTTTTTTTTGTTGTTGTCTTCTTTATTGTTTTTAAAGATTAAAACATTCAATAAAATTATTTTTTAAAAAAAGAATAATACATCATTCAGCCTGCTTTCCCATGATGAGTACTTTTGGGGCTTCACTCTCTCTACTCCTTCATTAGAATAAGACTATGAAAGTCATAGTCCTTGTCGATCAGCTTGTCCATCAGAAAGGTCGGCAGTTCGGCGGTTCGATTCCCTAGTGGTGCATAATGGAGTGAGCTCCCGTTAATTGTCCTAGCTTCTGCCAACCTAGCAGTTTGAAAGCATGTAAACATGCAAGTAGAAAAATAGGGACCACTTTGGTGGGAAGGTGCGCCTTCGGCTGTCCACATGCTGTCCACATGACCACGGAATCATCATCAGTCAGCCCTGGCTCTTCAGCTTTGTAACTGAGATGAGCACTGCCCCCTAGAGTTGGGAACAACTAACACCTATGTGCGAGGAGAAACTGAGCAGAAGGGATTCCTTGTTGGAGCAGAAATGTCACACACCCAATTCTGAGTGTAAAATGATTTAACAATATCCTTGGAGGCTAGATTAAAAGTTGAGAATCAAGGTGAATAATCATACCTTTTAGCCAGAAAAAAAGGTGAACTTCACATTTGGGTTAAATTACTAGAATTGAATTGTCCATGTGCAGTATATGTCAGCATTTAATAAATGACATGAGTAAATTCTTCTATTTCAGAATATGTGGCCAAAGAGTTAATTAAAACCACCAGGATTGAATTCTATGGGCAATTCCACTTGAAAACTAGTTACCAACATCAGAATGCTCTCTTTATGAGAACAGTTTCTAAAATGCTTTTCAAATATACTATGAATATATAATAGTGGATATTTTATTAAATACCATTTTTCTCATTACTGCAGGACGCTGACAAATTTGTATCGTCATATTGACTGGTCACACCAAAGTTTAGACGATCACATCAATACTATAAAAAGACAGTTGCTGAAGAACAAAAATAATGTTATTTCTAACATAAGATTGAAGCAGTATCACAAGGAGCTAACTGAGCGGATCGAATCTGGTCATCTTTCATCTTTTACAGCACTCTGGGCCCTTATTCAGGAAGCTTTTCTTCACGATAGAGTATGTTAAGTATTTGTTATACAACAAAGATGTGATCCCTAGTTTTTCCTATTGAGGTAGCAATGTGACATCATGTAACATCATCTGTACTGGTGAGTGTGGGCTGTCTCACACTTCCGAGCGATGGTGATGTTATCTAGTTGGGTAATGAAACATCTGCAATAAAAACAAACGAGCTCAGAGAATACCAAGGATTTTCCAGTTTAACCCTGAGCTACATGCTTTCTCTTCTTTTGAATGATGCATATATTAAAATATTTATTTTGTTTCCCTTTGTTTGAAGGTAAATCCCAGTAAGCTCTCAGAACAGCAACAGGCTTTGAATCAGGGGCAGAACCCTTTCCCTATTTACACAGCCATAAATGTCAAAGATGGAAATATCAACACTTTTGACTTTAGAGGTGGGTCCTCACAAATCAGTCTCTCCACTGTGGAAATGTGGGCTTTGATTGCATGCTATATAGGCATTGGAAGAGAGGAGAAAAAGGGAAGGGCATGAAATGTTGACCTTGAATTTGATAGAACGAGTACTTCCTATTTATCATGACTCTCTCAGAGTACAGTACTTCTACATGGATTATATAGGGAAAGTTCATTATTCTCATTTTCACCCAACTTCACCAAGGCAGGAAGATCATGCAGAAAATCAAAGAGAAAAATGTAGAACTGTAATATTTAAGCTGTTGATAGGTTAGATATGCTTCAGAATATCACAATTTGCACTGATAAGAGTTGAAGCCCAAAACATCCAGTAGGTAGGGCACCAATTTCCCAACCTGATCTAACTTATCTCTGCTTGCATTGTTATTTAAGATAATGAAAACTGTTATCCTCTACATCAATATTTGTTTGAAAGGATCGGTTTCTGTTTTTGCTGAGCAACTAGGCCTTTTTTTAAAACATTCATGTCTAACCTCCAAAACATAATATATTAAAAACTAGTGATTCAAATTTATATCTCAATAAGAAGAAATGACATTATCTTTTATCAGCCAGGGATTTCAGGTAGTTCTAATAATTTTCTTCTAGAAAGATATACATTAGATGTGTATAACTATTTAAATGGCTATACATTATTCTTTTAAACAGCTTTTCATTGCTGTTCATTGTTCTCTGTGTCATAAACATAGGGATGCAAGTTGTTCATTGAATGGAAACTTCTAGTTTGTCATGCTTTGCATTTAGATTTGTGGAAGATGTCACAAAATTGATCAAGGTAATTGGGAGAAGATGTTTGTCTGATGCTATTTTTTCTACAAGAAATCTCCCCGGAGGTCTGTCTCCTTCCTTCCTTCCTTCCTTCCTTCCTTCCTTCCTTCCTTCCTTCCTTCCTTCCT